TTCTTTGCAAGTGGAGTTTTGGCTCTTATTGCCTGCGAGCGTGGCCTCGGTGTTCTCCTTCTTCCATTCCTCTCTCCATGTCTCAATTTTTCTCCCGTGTTTATTTTAAATAAGGGCACTTTTCACATTTCTGTTTGCTTGGCCCCTGCCAATACACTAAAACACTAAGACACCCATGGCAGAGCCAGAGCATCGCACAGTTCTGAGGATGTCTGGAACACTGAGGGCAGTGAGCTGCGTGAAGACCTACTTCCAACTACCCTTTAATTTGAGGGAATTCTGAATCCAGGACCAGGAGCCATCCGCCTTGTTCCAGATCCAGCCAGGGCTTCTCTTCATTCCAGTACAGGCGATTCTGTGGATTCAGAGCCAGACATGTGCTGGTAGCCTAAAGGGTTTGGGAGCCAGTATTGTCCCTGCAACCACAATGATCTTCATCCTTCTTTCAGGAGGGATAAATGAGGATATTGCTTACTTAATTTTACTGGATTTTCTATCTTTGGTCACCTCAAAGCCGTGTAATAAAGTGAGTTATAAAGGATGCCCAGGAGTAGTTCTGGCTCTTTCTGAGGTGCAGTGGGTTTCCAATGGTACACAGCAACTCTGCACGAGTGAGTTGGCAAGGGAGCAGAGTGCCTCAACGTGACACGGGCACCATTAGCAAAGCAGGCAGTAGAGCTGGAGCTCAGTTAAGAACAATACCCTTATGCACACGATGGGGAATATGGGGCTGCGTGTGACGGAAGACTTCCAGGAACGAAGTTTACTTCTTGTCTTAGCACTGGTTGCTCTTGCTGGTTGTTAAGTGCAGTGTTATTTATGGCCTGGTACATCTGCCTCGCATTTCAAACACTTCTTCCCACAGTGTCAAAGTCTTGCCAAATGGCCTCTTAGCTGCCCAGCTCTGCTCTGGACCATGGCAGGGTTAGTGTGACAGTTCAAGGGTTGCAGTTTCAGTTAGCTTCCCTGCATCAGCACTTGTGGCATGTAGCCTTGAGGAGGGAATAGGAGCCTTCATCTTCCTGGCTCCTGGAGTTCCTGGAGTAGGAATGGTGTCCCTCTGACATGGTGGGAATAACAGAGTATAGGTCCTTTTGCAGATGTACATTTGCAAAGAAATTTCTTGTTGGGACAACTGGCTTGAAGTCAACCTTTGGTAGATTAGCACCTGTCCGGTTCTTTTTCACACAGTCACGTCTCAAGTTTGCTTTGCTTATACCAGGTTTCCCTTACCTCATTCTTGAGAGCAGGGCAGCCCTTCTGTTCTGGAGAAATGTAATTTCTCTGGAGGTTTGCTCTAGCCCCAGAAAGCAGGAGCATGCAGTTAACTACCTGATTCTGCAGGTTTCCAGTGTGTGTGTGCAGTGCGCTGTGCTTTCTCGGGTCTTGTGCAGGTATGAGAATTCTGGCTGCTCTTGACTTCGGACTGTCAAGCCTTTAGGCAACTCATATACAATACTGAAAAAGGAAAAGGTGAAGGATATAATGATTTCACAGTCCGGCATTAATTCATCCCCTCACATCTGGGGTAGGTCAGAGATTGTCCGTGCATGCTGGTGTCTATAAATGTATTTGAATGTGTATGTAACTATATTATATAGACATCTAAATGCTCTCTATAATAAATGTTATATACCTTATACATGTTGAAAGAAATTCATGATCTTAAGAAGTCAAAAATTGTCCGCAGTTCAAAACAAGAAGGTAGTGCTAAAGTGTTTCTGATCTGGATGCAGTACTTCCAGCTGCTCACCAGCTCCTCGTAACAGTTGTTTTAAAGTGTTACTACAGTCACTTAGATCCTGCACAGAGGAGGAGGCTTTTCTAGGCCATCTGAGCAGGAAACGGGGGAGCTTTGAAGCCCCTTGTCCAAGAAAGATATTGCAAGTTAATGTTGTGCATAAGAAGCCAGCTGCTGCAAACACGAATTTTGCAGATAAACCTCACAAAAGAGCAGGAGAAAGCAGAAGACCGGTGAACTCTCCAAATATCCTCCATCACTTCTTTGCTAAGTGAATCATTCCCACTCACTTCTTTTTCCTTAAACAAGATCAGAAAAAGAATCAGAAGAGTTCGTAAAGCTGGGCCTCCCTTCCAGAAATGCAGTGTCCTAGCTTCTCCAACTGAGGAGTAGGAAGCTTGCGTTTGGTGGAAATCATTTCCACATTGGCTGTGTCTGTATTGCTCCCATAAGCCTGGGAGTCACTAATTGGGCTGCCGGCCTCGTGCCTGCAGCAAGGCAGAGCTCTGTGCAACCTTCCTGCAAAGCACGCGGGTCCGCCGAGCTGTGTGTGGCCACGGCTGGCTCGTGAGCAGGACCCGACCTAGCCGGGCTGAAACTCGCTCCGGTGACTCAGTGGGAGCTGCGGTCTTGACTCATGAGCCTGTCCATTCCCACACAAGGACTTCTCCCACCAGTTGACTTATCCCAGAGAACTCCCGTGAGGCGCCCGCGTAGCTGTGGCCGGGCTGTAGACATCACGTCGGGGTTCACGGGGGCTGTGTTTCAGTGGTGGATGGAGCATTAACGTAGGTTCAGGCCCGAAATTCCTCACGCATGTTTACTTTGTCCTTATATAGGCAAATTTCTAACTTCGATTACTTAACGAAAGGGCAGGATTTCTAAATTCTCCAGGCTCAAGCCAGATGATCCCTCCAGGAATGGGCTGTTCTGCCACAGGAAGCGTCATGCTTGGGGGAAAAGTAGCAATGCACTTTCATATGTCACGGTCTCCTCTCTCAAAAGTCGTCATGCCTTTCTGATGTGTGCTCCAGATTTGTCTCTGCAAATGTGAGTGTGCCCGAGCGCTCTTGCCCAGAGTCCCTCCTTGCTGCGTTATGGGCCACGGTGGTATGAGCAGCTTTATATTAGCAAAGTGATGAATGAAGCTTTGGTGGGACAGGACGACTCATTCCTCTCAACTCAAGACAATTCTTCTAATGAAGGAAACAGCTCGAAGTCATCTCATTTGTTTGACATCTCTCCCGGACAGTCTGGAGTTGTTCTCTGATTCTTCCCAGCTCCTGGCCCGTTAGCTGTTATTGGGGATAAAGGATGTTCCACACCTCTTGCAACGTTAATGCCAGCAAAAAAAAAAAAAAAAGATTAAAATGCTACTGTTTTAATTTATATTCAGTGGGATTGGCTTAGTTTTTTTGTCTTCTTCACCAGCTGGGTAGGTTGTGTTTTGTGAAAAAACAGAGCCAACATCTCTTAGAGACCCAACTCTCAATTTGCACAAATCCACCTCACATACCCATCAATTGCAATCTCCTCTTCCAAAGATATTTCCAAACATTAATGAACTAAGCCTCAGTCAAGCCCATATGCCATACAGAACTTATCCCTTATGCGGCCAGGCATCTGAGTTACTGCTCGATTTAAGCACAACAGTTGGAAGTAGAAGCCTGGTTTGCTATCGCTGCCATGTGTCTTGGCTGCAGCAGAGCTCCAGCTCTCTTAACCTCTTTTCAGTTGGAAAAAAGATATTTTGTCCAGCAGCCAAAGGGAAATGCAAGCATCCTGGTGGAAAACAAGCTGTTTCAAAACCTTGGCTGCAAGCTACCCACACATCACGGTTGTCAGCCAGGCTGCACATGTATAGTTACAGGGAATAAAACAGAGAGGACCTTCTGCTCCTATTCAGAAAGGTCTCTACCCATTCACCTACACTAAAGGATCTTCGTCAGCTGCCACTATTAATTTGTTCTCTTGCTTGGGTTTCCAGCCAAAGGAGGGTAAAATAAGCCTAATTCTATCCAGCAGGGGCACTTGCAATGCAAATGCTAGCCCATACATTACAAAGCATTAATGCAACCAGCTTCTAAATCACTTGGGGTTATTTCTGGTTTTATTTAGGCCTCCTTCTCTTTAATTAACTTCTGGGAAGAGAAGCTGCAATATCACTATGGGGAAAAATCAAATATGAGAAACGCAGCCCCTTTTTATTTTGAGACCGTGTTTCTCTTGCAATAAGCGGATTATTTAAAGAGGAGCCTGGAATAATCCAGTTTAAGCAAAGCAAAGAGCCTTGCTGCAGCCAAGCCGTGTGTGGGTGTGCTCTTGTCAGGGCTCCCAGACGAGGAGGGCAGCAGAGGCTCTTAGTCAGAGCTCAGATCCCGCAGGCCGTGGTGGTGGCTCTGCCGTAGCTGGCGTTTGCCCTTGTCCGTACATCCCGTGCATGGGGCAGGTTCCTCCAAAGCAGTGAGCAGCTCTTCTCCATGCAGACCCCGAGAGAGACATTGACCAAGCCTATTCCAAGGCATTAAAGGCGAGTGCTTGTGTTCTTTAGAAAAAGAATTAAATAAATGAATGAGTGTCTTTGGAAACAGCAGGGCAGGCTAACGCAGAGGGTGAGGTGCAACTGTTTCCGCAGATGAATTTAAATGTTCTTTTTTATATATGCACGGGTTCGATTTTTAATTCTTTGTCTTGGAGATAATGAATGATTGCACTTTATTTATAGAAAATCACATATTCCCTTATTCGAAACTGTGAAACGCATATCTGCATCCGTCTGCAGTAGGCACTGGAGCACAGTTAGTTATATTAAAGACTATTAATTAAATTTCCTCCAGTGATAAATAAATTAGAGGTGAACATAATGTTTCTTTTAAAACAAAAGCATCTACTGAGGAATTAATCTCCTAGGCCTCGCAGGCTGGCGGTGAGCAGTGAGGCGGGCACGCGAGCGCAGGTACCGATCGGTGCGTTCAGGGCGTATTGCAGTTACTGCCCCTCTGTTTTCCCTCTCCAAGGAAATCCTCCTGTGGTTGATTCTTTCCATCGCTGTTGAGTCTGCTGGCTCTGAAGCTGAAAGCCTTGATCCTGCAATCAATTGCAAATGTGCTTTATGATTTCCTCTATTTTGAAGGGAAAATGTATGAAGGGCAGCCTGCTTTTCTCCTTTAAACGTATCATTCAAACCCATAGCAATTCGTAAGCTCTTGGGCGTTTTCGCTCCCTCTCAAGTGATCTTTTTGGTTTTTCTCTCCTGCAGATAGTGAAATCATCCCTCCCGACTGCCTGCGGCCCCGCTCCTTCACTGCCATCCGCCGGCCCTCGCTGCGCCGCGACACGGAGGACACGCGCCTCTCCGTCAGCCTCTGCGACCTCAACCTGCAGGAGGAGACCTTCCACGTGACGGCCACCACGTGCCCCATCCCGCAGAACTCCCTCAACTCCCAGCACTCTCACCTGCTCCCCTCGCAGCTCGAGAGCGACCTCCGCTTCCACCAGCTCAGGGGAGCCCACGTGAAAATCCTGGACGACCAAACCGTGGCCCGGCTGGAGCACGCCCGCGAGGAGAGGACTTTGGTTTTCACCAGCAGACCCCTCAGAATCAACGAGACCATTTTCGTCAAGATCAACAAGTCCAACGCGGCGCGCACCGGGACGCTGTCCTACGGGGTGACGTCCTGCGACCCCAGCACCCTGCGGCCCAGCGACCTGCCCTATAACCCCGAGTCTCTGGTCGACCGAAAGGAGTTCTGGGCTGTCTGCCGCGTCCTGGTTCCCCTGCAGAGCGGAGACATCTTGGGGTTTATGGTGAATTCGGAGGGCGAGCTGCACTTGAGCCACAACGGCGCCAGCACGGGCATGCAGGTCTGCGTGGACTGCTCCCAGCCCCTGTGGATGTTCTTTGGTTTACACGGCGCCGTCATGCAGATTCGCGTGCTAGGTAGGTCTCGGACCCGCTACCACACTCTCACACCCAAAGCACCAAGGTGGGATATGTCCCAGGGTGAGGGCGAAGGGAAGGAATGGAAGCGTGAGTGGTTCCTACTCTAGGATCAGTTGCAAATTTTATTTTGAAAGAGGAAAAATTAATAATCTGCAAAGGGATGTACATAACACCTGGGTATCTGTTATAAGACTTAAGATTTTTACCCTTCTCTAGCATCTTTCATTTGAAGGTTTCAAAGGTCTCCTCAAATGGATGAAGTCTCAGAGTCCTCCTCTGAAGTCCTTCTCTGTCCTTGAGCTCTGCTCACCAGTGGACTTTAAATGCTGAAAGTGTGGAGAAAAAAGCCCCAAAATAGGATCAAACTTTTTTGTGTATGTGTGTGTATGGCTGTTGGGCAGTGTCATCTTTATGTAGTCACAAGTGTGGGGTGTATTTGGGCTTGAATTTAGGCTGCAGCAGTGTCAAAAACTAACTGATGGTCTCTGAGAACGCTCTCTAATTCCTGATCCTTCTCTAAGTGATTTACAAATAAGAGCTGACACATTTACTTAAAGGGTAGTTAGATATCCACCTAAGAGCTAATCCAATTATTGGCTTGGGGAGAATGTCTCATGGTAAAGAAAGCTCTCACATATTAGAGGAAAATCTATAGTAATGTCATCAGCATTTGCATTCTCTATAGGGGAATTACAAAAAAAAATTACTTAAACCTTTCCAATTAACATCACTGTAGTGGAGACAAACCAGTTTAAATTAAGGCCACTCAGATTAGGCTTTGAGCAAATAATAGCTGAAACCAAACAGCAGAATTCGGGTGAAAGAGAGTCAAATGTCTTTCTCCGAATACTCCAGATACTGGAAGCTGAAGTGTTAAAAAAGCCTTCTGCCTTGTCTGGTGTTCCAGCAGGGCAGATCTGTGGCTCCTTCGCCATCCTGCCTTTCGCTGGCTCATACCAGACACCAGCCCGGGCTGTCCCTTCTCTTGCTCCTCCATCTGTGCCGCTCCCTCCACATCAGAGGACAGCATCAGCCGTCCACTCGGCTGTGAATTCCTAACCCAGCAGCGCCTGTTCCCTCGAGCCACCTCTCTTTATGTTTTCTCACTGTGTGTGTTTAAGCCAAAACCATTTAATGTTATATGAGTTGTACCAAGCCCCAGCAGGCTCGTTTCTATCTCAAGTGGAGCTGGCTCTTCAGACTTTTTTTTTTTCCCCCACTGAGATGTCCCAGAAAGTTATCCCCACTGTGACCCCCCAGATGGAACAGTCTCAGAGGAAAGAAATCACCTGCTTTTGGAGCATGATTTTGCCTTTGTAAGTAAGCTTGTTTGTGCAATTAGACAGCCAATTTGCAGCCATAACTCATGCAAAAGAATGCCAATAAATGGGGCATACTGGTGCATGTAAATGATTTGGAAATGCTCCTTTATTGCTTATATTGTTACATTCACATTTCTTTAAATATATCCCTTTAGTGTTTAAAATTCCGATTATTAAAACGCTGCTTTTACTCAACAGAAAAAAAACAAATCTCAACATCTAACAGCTCCTGGGTAGACAGTCTTTGAAGATAAATTGTGATGAGCACACACTTCTCTCTGCAGGGTCCAATCCACCTTAGTCACTGTCTTTAAGTGTCCTAAGCGATTTGCTTAAAGTCAACCATAGACCTATGCTGTGAATATTCTGTGGCTATTAAAGGCTCACAGATGACGTATATAATACTATAATTTATCTCCAGGAGCCCAGGAATCAAACCCCAATAGTTCCCCTTGATTACATTTCTGTGCACATTGTACCTAATCCATGGCTAGCTCTGCTCACAGCCAACACATCATTTTGATAAAGGTAGATGAAGTCAACCAGATCCCAGGCGAAGGAGGAAGATTAAATGCTCCTGTATACGTAAGAAGGAAAATATTCTCAGGCCATTTAGCTGCTGGTGAGACTAAGTCATCAGCCCACTACTTCTTTTCCTATGAGATCACTGATTTTGCCTGTTTTGCGCAGAGCAAATGGCCTGTTTGCCGTAGATCCTAGAACGGGGCAGAGAGGGTGTTTCTCCACAGAGGATCACAGTCGCATCCTGTCGCAGCGCTCGACAGAGCACAGACCTGACATGGCCCTGCTGCAACCTGGGCAAACCTCCCGCTGAGCAAGTTATTACGGAGTCTCTGTGTGTGTCGTGCCTACCTGCTCACAAGTTCTGCCCAATGGACATTTTAGATAAATCCATGTTTCCCACTGAAAATCTGCTCACTGGTTTCCTGTTTCCAACAAGAGGTGGAAAACTCTAGCTATATTTACGAGCATGCAAGAAGCTTTTCCTGGTGTCAGTCATGGGAGAACAAATGGCAAATGAGCCCTTGGGTCTCAAGTGAGATACAGAGGGAACCAAACACACTGATAGAGCCTCGCCGGAGGGCTAGAATATAAATGTAGCTTTTCAGACACGCGTTTACAGTGCTGTGGTACAGTGCAACTGCCCAGAAAGCAGCTGTGAGGCTGTCTCCAGCACAGGTCTGTAGCTGCAGTAGTTATGATGTGGATCAGCCATACTCGGCCAGAAGGATAAAGCCCATAATGAACTTGCATCTCTGCCTTTTGCAATGCAATTGTAGTGCAGTGACGTGTGCTGTTTGCACTGCAGGAGAACAGCTTATGACACTTGCCATAATATCTCCTATTATAATATTAGAAAATGTACAAAGACCATAAAGTGTTTATCTTATGTCTAATGACAAGCTCCATCTCCAGAATGCAAACAAGAGTAATTTTATGTGATCCATCTTTTGTAATTTGAGCTTTTTATCACAGGAGAAGACATGTTTATAGTCATCTTTTCTAGCTTTAATAGAAAACGTGAAGTTCCATATCCTTGAAATAAATGAGACACACATCCTGCAAGAGGGAAATGGTAGCAAACCTGTCTTATATAGCAGATGTCATTCTATTTCTGGGGCATCTCTTCTGCCATTATTAAATTAATCAAAGCACTATTATGCAGTGTTAAAGGAGCATCAGAGCTATGGCAAACTACACAATACAGAAAATGAGATGTGCTGTGTCTACTTTCTCTCCATTTTTTCTGATTCTTTTGGAGGATGGAGAAGGTGGAGAGCAGCAATGCCACTCTTGCAATTAGAGAGGTTCTGCTTTTGAAAACTGGGTGGCTCAGAGTTTTCAGCACTGGCCACTGCATTTCAGACCTTGAGATTAATGATTTGGTTCTGACCCATAGCAGGACCAAGGCTTTTGCCTCAGTCTTACCAGTCTGGTGTCGTAGACTGGCACTAAACTTACTGTAAAGGAAATTAAAAAAGCAGAAAATAAAGACGAGATTGGAAAAACTTTATCTTTTTTTTGGCACCCAGCAAAGGTAAAATAATTATAGGCCAAGCACCTCTACAGTGCAGTGAGAGACTACAGTCATCTGTAGTGAGGAGCAGAAGATATCAGTTTGTTTCATTTACCAAAGAAAAGATCAAGAGGCAACTTGACCACATGGAGGGAAGATAAATGAAAGCAGAGGGCACTTCACTGTAGCAGATATTAGCATAAAAATCTCAAGTTGCTGGAAAATGAATGTATGCAAATTCCAGCTAGACATAACTGAAAGTAATTAGCTTGGGGAACCAGCTATCGAGGGAGGCAGTAGATCTTCTTGTCAAGATTGGAAACCTTTCTGATTATTTTATATTTAAGGTGCTGCTCTTCTATGGGTTGTGCAGGTGGGACAGGCAAAAAAGAAACCCAGTCATTAGGAGGCTGCATGGGCAAGGAGAAGCAAAGCACTGGCTTTGCCAGGGCTGTAGGAATTCCACTGCTTCAGGCCTGTGGGTTTTCTCAGGCATCGTTCCTGTCCCGTAGGCATGACCAGACTTTTAAAAGTGATTTATCATTTTCAGCTTTTACTCATAAGCATTTGAGTTCACACACGGTTTTATCAACAGCTCTGAAAGATTGAAATGAGACAGTCTGGATATATTGGCCTGGCTTTGGTGTTGTAATTCATTTGTGAAGTTTAAATTGATTGACCCCATAAGGTCTTGAAATGTATGACTCATGTCTGGAGAAACCATTGCAACAACAAGTTTATATATTTAGAATTTGGGAAGCCAAAGGGTTGGGGGGATTCTTTCATTTTCTTGTATCTCACAATGAATCACCAGCATGTAAAACTCTTTCGTCTTCTCTTTTGTTTTGTTTTTTTGGTGCAGTTTCCCTCATGAATTACAGCCTTGCCATTAATATCAACATTTCCTTTTAAGCAATGAAATAACTTCTTCCATCAGCAGTTATGCTAATGAAGCCCAGTTTCTTCCACGTCTGTGTCCTTTCTACCCACCCTTGGAACAATTCCAGGCCCCCCAGAGCAACCACACATTTCTGCAGCTCCCTGGATGTCTCTGGACTATTTTTTAGCCTGCGGGACAGCTGAGAGCCAGGATGTGGGGCGGGCAGTCTGGCTTCCCAGCCGCAGCGGGTGCATGCAGGATGCGCACGGGCTAAACGCGCCGGCCTCTTTACCCGTGGGCAGCGGGTTGGCACCCTTGCTCAGCCCCTGGTTGCCAGGAAGGTAGGAATATTGCAAGAGGTTAATATTTAGTGCCTTTTGCAAAGAAATTAGCTAGTATTAAGCCATTCCCACTTCATAAACCCTTCTATGACACTTGGGTTTATCTTTCTTTGGAAATAATAGATGTTACTGATGTTAAGTGGTGAGGGAGACACAGGAGCATTACAACTTCTGTAACTCGCTGGCCTTGATTCTGGCACTGCATGCAGCTCTTCGTACACCCTCCTGGTTTATCTTCATTTTTAAAAGAAAAATAATTTAAAAATAAAATTTAAAAGAGGACAGGGTGCTTTACCACTTAGATCTCGGAAAACTGGAGAGTTGAGGCAACCTGGATGCAGTCAAATAGTTATTCCTTGTGGGAAGTGCCAGCAACGTCAGGGTTAATACCAGCTCACAGCACCTGTGTACATCCA